CGGTATGAAAGGACTTTCTAAGTCTCAGAACAGTGGAAGAACTGAACAAAGGAAAAAACTAATACATATACAAGGAGATTTTGTGGAAGAAAAAAAATGGATCAAACTTAAGCAAAAAACTGGGAAGGATCTTGGTAAAAGATATGTCAGAAGGAAGTAATATTCTTTAAGATATTCTTAGAAATTCATCGGACAGGCGGGGTGTGGTGGTTCACGCCCATAATCCCTGTACTTTGGGAGGCAGAGGTGGGTGGATCACTTGAGGTCAGGAGTTTGAGACCAGCCTGGGCAACATGGTGAAACCCCGCCTCTACTAAAAATACAAAAATTAGCCGGGTGTGGTGGCACACTCGGAAGGCTGAGGCAGGAGAATCACCTGAACCTTGGAGACATAGGTTGCAGTGAGCTGAGATCATACCACTCCACTCCAGCCAGGCCACTGAGTGAGACTGTCTCGAAACAAACAAACGAACAAACAAAAAGAAGAGAAACTCATCAGACAAAGAGAGGGAAAAAATGAGCAAAGGAAATCAGCAGAGGTTTCATTGAAGGACAGAGAGAAATGGTCAATACATGGATGAAAACATGTTTAACTTCAGTAATAATCAAGTAAGCACATACCAACACAACATGCACACTGTTTTTATCAAATGTGTACATGTTTTGGAAATGAGTACTCCCAATTAATATGTACAGAGCACTTCGCAGTGCCCAGCACAGGGGTGGCACCCTGTGTGTGAGAATGAAATAGGTAGACTCGTGCCCCGCTGAAAGTAAAGGACTGCCTCTCTGGAGGATCCCTTGGGTAATAAGGAGGTTTTCACACCTTAACTGTGTCTGTCTTGGGGCCTGGGAGCAGAGCCCCCTCCAGCTGGTGGGGAAGGGAGCATGGTGTGTTTGAGGACAGAATGGAGAGAAGTTGAGTAGAGTAAGTGTAGACTCTTCCTACCCGAAGTGTGGTCCATGGACCAGGAGTATCAGCATCACCAGGGAGCTTGTTGGAAATACGGAGGCTCAGGCTCCACTCTGACTTTACTGATTGGGAGCATAAACTTTAACCAGATTCCAGGGGGGATTCATATACACATTCCCATTTGATAAGTGGGGGATAGTAGGAGGTGAGAAGTGGGGAGGGGATGGCTACTGCACTGGAGAAGGCTGCCTTTGTGTTGAGGCCATTTTCATGAGGGCAGTGGGGAGCCATGGAAGGCTTTATGCAAGGAAGGGTATGGGCAGATTGAGATTACAGAAGGATCCCACTAGTTGCCTTGTGTGATGACCCAGGGAGAAGGGGAGGCTGTCCCTGTTTGAGTAGGAGATGAGGGCTACTAGTGGCCATTAGTGGAAAGAAGTGAGCAGAAATCCAAAGGACTGGTGATAGGATGAGGGTGGGAACCAGGATGGGCTTTGGGCAGACCCAGAACCCTCTGTCTGCCTGTTGGCCCACCAGATAATAGTCCCTGTGTTCCTGGGCGAGTCAGTGCCACCTGAGGTGTTGGCAGCCACTTTGGCTGAGCTGGACGGGTGCCTGCAGCTGCTTGAGGACAAGTTCCTGTGGGACCAGGCCTTCCTTACTGGGTCCCATATCTCTGTGGCTGACTTGGTGGCAATCATGGAGCTGATGCATGTGAGTGCCATGGGGTAGGGTGCCCGCTGGGCAATGGGGTATCCGGGAAGGGAACTGACATCCCAGCTCAGGTTGTCTTTTCTGGATGTGGGACCCTGTGTGAGTCACTTCTCCTTCTGAGCCTCAGTATCCTCATCTATAAAATTGGGCTTTACAAACCCTCGCCGCAGATATATTAAGAGGCTTCCAAGTGTCCCTAGGGAGGGGGACACCCCAGCCCATCACACACATGGTGGAGGAGGGAAAATCCAATCAGAGAACCCCTAAAGCAGGTCATGCTGCCTTACGCCTGGCTATGCCCAGCCCCTCCGCTGACTCTGTCTTCCCCTAGCCCATCAGCGCTGACTGCTGAGTCTTTGAAAGCAGACCCACAATGGCAGCATGGCGCCCAATGTGTGGAGACTGCAGTGGGGGAGGACCTCTTCCAGGAGGCCCTCGCAGCTGTCCTGAAGGCCAAAGACCTGCCTCCAGTAGAACCTGCTGTTAAAGAGAATCTGAAGCCCTTAATGCAGCTTTTCTTACTGTGAGTGTGTGTCCCGGACTTGCTGAGCCACTGAGGCGATGCTGTGTTAGTAGAATCAAGACATGGAGCCGTCTGTCTCCTTGGTTGTAAAGAAGACATATCTGCACAGGCTGTGGTCCACAGTTCCTCCAGGTATCATGCCTGCATTCCTTTTGTCTCCTACCCCATTCCTTTCTAGCTTCCACGCGACCTCTGAAAACAGATTTGGCCAACACTTATTTGACCCTGTCCTTCTGTGTGGAACTTTCTATGGTTCTTCACTGCCCAGAGGCTCAAGTACAAGTCATTGAACTTTGCATTCAAGGCCTTGTTCCCACTCCTCCAGGTGGCCCCTTCTGCCTGCACATTTTTATACCCCTCTCTGGGCTCCCACCTTGGCTTCTGCTCATGCTGTTCCCTCATCTTTGCCTGGTGCCCTTCCTGGTCTTTTGGCATTTGGCACCGTCTCCTCTCCAGGGAGACTTCCCTGACCTCCCCAACCCCAGTTCAGGTCAGATGACCTCTCTGGGCACCTCAGCCCCAGGGTTTCCTTGTGGGGGATACCCCTGGACTGAGCATGTATCATAGATGAGGGGTGACCTGGTGAAAAGATGTCTGAATCAGGATCAGCCTTGGTCTCCTAGGTCTCTCTCCTCACTGTAGGGCGATGTGTCCCACAAGTGGGGTGCAGGGCTGGTTCGTGGACCTCCTTGCAGGAAGGGAAGTCCCTGGCGATTTCCTGGCCCTCTCTCATGCCTCCTCATCACCTTGACCACAGTCTTCTCTACACCCCACTCCCTGACCACTGGCTTGTCCATGCCCCACACCTGGTCCCAGACTTGCCACCTGTCCCTGCCCTCTCCCCCTTAGGACTGTCATATTTACCTGTCGTGTGTCTCAGACTTTCTGATATCTGAGTCATCTAATAAACTGCTAATAGGACAAGATCATGACAGAGACTCTGTCGGCCTTTCAGTGGAGGCTCCTTTGAGTATGCACACTTATAATTTTATACATGTAGCTGAAATTGTACATATAAACCTACACATTTTTTCTTTTTTGCGGGGGAGGGGGGAGCCTGGGTCTCACTCTGTCATCGAGGGTGGAGTGCAGTGGCAGTCATAGCTCACTGCAGCCTAGATCTCCTGGGCTCACTCAGCCACCCAAGTAGCTAGGGCTGCAGGCATACACCACAGCACCCAGATTTTTTTTTTGTAGAAAATAAGAGAATCTTGCTATGTTGCCTAGCCTGATCTTGAACTCCTGGGCTCAGGCAATCCCCCCTTCTTAGCCTCCCAAAGTGCGGAGATTACAGGTGTGAGCCACCTTGCTTGGCCACAACTACAATCACATTTGAAATGTACAATCCAAGTGATTTTACCACACTGACTACAGACTCCTGTTTAAGCCACACCAACAGAGTTCCATGTTTTTTTGTTTTTGTTTTTTTGAGATGGAGTGTTGCTGTTGCCCAGGCTGGAGTGCAACGGCATGATCTCGGCTCACTGCAACCTCTGCCTCCCCGGTTCAAGCGATTCTCCTGCCTCAGCCTCCCGAGTAGTTGGGATTACAGCGTCATGCCTGCCACCATGCCTGGCTACTTTTTGTATCTTTAGTAGAGACGGAGTTTCGCCATGTGGGCCAGGCTGGTGTCGAACTCCTGACCTCAGGTGATCTGCCTGCCTCGACCTCGCAAAGTGCTGGGATTACAGGCGTGAGCTACCGCGCCCGGCCTTTCCATGTTTTAAATAACATATTTTGCCACCCCTGGTGGACAGTGGCTCACCACCGGCACAAGAGGCTACACAGGCAGATGTCAATGGGGACATGGAATGGTGGGGACAGGGAATGTCATGAGCCCAAGGGCCCTGGCCAGCCCTACCCGCGCCTGCACGTGTAACCACATCTCCTGACTGCCCAAGCGCAGATTTTCATACTTTAACATGAAATTGCCTAACTTCGAAATGGTGGCAAATCATTTTTTTTTTTGAGACTGAGTCTCGCTCTGTCGCCCAGGCTGGAGTGCAGTGACCGGATCTCGGCTCACTGCAAGCTCCGCCTCCCGGGTTCACCGCCATTCTCCTGCCTCAGCCTCCCAAGTAGCTGGGACTACAGGCGCCCGCCACCACGCCCGGCTACTTTTTTGTATTTTTAGTAGAGATGGGGTTTCACCGTGTTAGCCAAGATGGTCTTCATCTCCTGACCTCATGATCCGCCCACCTCGACCTCCCAAAGTGCTGGGATTACAGGCGTGAGCCACCGCGCCCGGCCTCAAAAAAATTTTTTTTTTTTTTTTTGAGACGGAGTCTCGCTCTGTCGCCCAGGCTGGAGTGCAGTGGCCGGATCTCAGCTCACTGCAAGCTCCGCCTCCCGGGTTCACGCCATTCTCCGGCCTCAGCCTCCCGAGTAGCTGGGACTACAGGCGCCCGCCACCTCGCCCGGCTAAGTTTTCATATTTTTTAGTAGAGACGGGGTTTCACCGTGTCAGCCAGGACGGTCTCGATCTCCTGACCTCGTGATCCGCCCGTCTCGGCCTCCCAAAGTGCTGGGATTACAGGCTTGAGCCACCGCGCCCGGCTCAAAAAATTTTTAAGCTCCCGTTGCATTGGTTATTAGGGTCGAGCCTGGGGAAAACCACTATAGGTGTGTGTGTCTGTGTGTGTTGGGAGTGTTGAGACCTCAGTACTAGGAACCAGGCGACCACAGCGCGGAAAACTTGAGGGAAATCCACCTGGCGCCAGACAAGAGAGTTGGGGGAGAGACAGGGTAGGACCACTACAACGTTAAAGACTTGTAGTGGGTGGGGCTATACCTAGAGCGGGGGCTACGAGACTTCCGGAAATCAGAGCCGGCACAGGTGACTTCTGTTTGCAGAAGCGGGATGTACCCTAAGCAGCCAATCGGGGAGCGCTGTCTCTGTCCAGCCAATGAGAAGTCAGATTGCTGTGGCGCCTTGCCCCTCCTCCCTGGTCCCCAAGCCTTGGGTACCCTCCGCTTTTTTCCCCCCTGGAGCAGTTTTCCTTCCTCTGCCTGCCATGCCGTTCGTAGAGCTGGACACGAATTTGCCCGCCAACCGAGTGCCCGCGGGGCTGGAGAAACGACTCTGCGCCGCCGCTGCCTCCATCCTGGGCAAGCCTGCGGACGTGAGCGTGGGCCGGGCAGCACTGGGCGAGGGGAGGTTGGTGGGCGAGGGGAGGTTGGTGGGCCAGGGGTCCGGCCCAGTCCCTGCTCTGCCTCCCTGACAGTGACCCCGAATCTTTCCCCCAGGGACCACTCCCTCCTTTCTCCACACCAAGCTCCGACTTTCCGTGCTCCACGATCCCGCGGCTCCCCCTCCACACGTCTTGCCCTTATTGCCCTCCCCAGTCATGACCTGGACATGACCCTCAGGTCCATTCCTGTCCCCGCGAACACTGGCGCGTTTCCGCTTTCGCGCGCTCGGGTCGGGTCCCCAGAGGTAGCCCGGCCGGCCTCAGCTTCGGGTAAAACTTTTCATGTCCCCCTCAGCGTATGAACGTGACGGTGCGGCCAGGCCTGACTATGGCGCTGAGCGGGTCCACCGAGCCCTGCGCGCAGCTGTCCGTCTCCTCCATCGGGGTAGTTGGCACCGCCGAGGACAACCGCAGCCACAGCGCCCACTTCTTTGAGTTTCTCACCAAGGAGCTAGCCCTGGGCCAGGACCGGTACGTAGGGGTACTCGGGGATCCATTTGGGACTGCGGCAGACTGGAGCCAGTGATCCTGCCTCAAGGGGAAAAACCCATTTCTTGCCCTGCCCAGTAAGGACACATCAGGGTATGGGGCCCTGGGGCCCCCTGACCCCTCAGGTTCCTGGTAGGACCATCTTCAAAGTGTGAGCAGGATTGAATGAATTTCTGGCTCTGCTCCTCAGTGTGTAAGTCTGTGAACCGGGAAGGCTCTCTTTCAGCACTCCCAGGGGCAGTGCAAGGGTCATGTGGGATTGTCTGTGTGCTGTACCCGCCTTGGCACCTGGCAGGGTACAGACGCCTTGGCTGAAGTGTGATTTTCTAGAACTTTTCCAGCCTGGTCAGAAGGAATTCTCGGTATGTTCTGAAGCTATCTTTTGGACCTTTGTCCCAACCAGGTTCCAGGTGAGGTTCAGGGGAGGCTCACAGAATACTGAAAGAGCATTGGCCTGGATGTTTAGACATCTGCTTTCTGGGTCCTGCATAGCTCGGGGACCCCAAACTTGGAAATGAACCATCTCCACTTGGCAACCTCCTCTTCTGTGAAAACAAGGGAAATGACCTCCCTCCCCCACAAGAAGCCTCTACAACCCAAACCTGGCGTTCTGTGACCGAGTTAAAGTTTCTTGTTGGGTAAAAGATAATCTTGAGCCACATTCACGCCTGAGGAAATAAGGGCATGAGAAGCTTGAAAGGACACTGTCCAGGCACAGTGGCTCATGCCTGTAGTCCCAGCACTTTGGGAGACCAAGGTGGGAGGTTCACTTGACCCAGGAGTTGGAGACCAGTCTGGGTAACATAGTGAGATGCCATCCCCCAAAACAATTTTAAAAATTAACCAGACATGGTGGTGTGCACCTGTAGTCTCAGTTGGCAAGCTACGGTGGGAGGATGGCTTCAGCCCAGGTGGTTGAGGCCGCAGTGAGCTGATTGTGCTATTGCACCCCAGCCTGGGTGGCAGTGAGACCGTGTCTCAGAAAAAAAGACCTTCTGAAATGGAGCCTTTGTTAGTCCATGAAGGCCAATGAGGAATGGCTGATCCTGCTGGGTCCTCCCTCAAGCTACAGAGAAATCATACAGTCAGCCCCCTGTATCACTGGGTTCCGCATCTGTTGGTTCCGCAACAGATGATAATCACTGAATTATCATCTGTTGTTTAATGGACTGAAATATCAGAGGAAAAAATTCGTAATTGCATCTATACTGAAAATATGTATAGACTTTTTTCCTTGTCATTATTCCCTAAACAATACAATTTACATAGTATGTACATTATATTAGGTATTATTAAGTAACCCAGAAATTTAAAGTGAGAGGATGTGTGTAGGTTATATGCAAATACACCATTTTGAACAAATGTAGATTTTGGTTTCCTCTGGGGATCCTAGAACAAATCTCCCATAGATACTGAGGGAAAACTGTTATTCTAACAAGTATTATACAAATGCTTACCATGTGCTAGGTACTCTACAGGTACTGTACACTCATGATCCCATTTGATCCTTACAATCCCTGTCCACTCTCCCTTTGCTCAGACAAGGCATGCTATCCCCATGAGGTATGCCAAGTTTATAAGACGACTGAGGCTGTTCATACTTCTGCCCCTGGAAGCCAGGCTATCCCAAGCTCTGGTGCTCCTCACTGGAAACTTGCTGTTACCTCTGAGAGGAGCATGTTCACTTATGGCACAGACATTAGTGGTGGGGGTTGGCGGGGCTGGGGGTGGGGTGGTCACCCTGTGCTCAGCCTTTGAGAAAACAGGTGGCTGAGGTACTATGCCCTTAGGGAGCCTGCAATTAGGAGGAGGCAGGGTGCCCCTCAGTCCACAAACTGATGGAGATGATAGAGTATATGGCACAGATGCTGAAGCTACTTTATTGTGTATCTGTCCTAGTTGGGTCATGCTGATGTGCAGCCACCATCCCACACCCGAGTGTCCCACTGCCCTGCTGGGGGTTGGGGAAAGATCATTACTGGGATGAGCAGGTTTGCAAAATGCCTGGTGGACTGCGGCAGGCTGTCCTGAGTACCCACAGTGGGAGTACCTGGCAGGGGTCTTGCAAGATGTGGTGTTAGTCAAGGAACTGATGATATCTTTTTCTGTCTCCTGAAGGATACTTATCCGCTTTTTCCCCCTGGAGTCCTGGCAGATTGGCAAGATAGGGACGGTCGTGACATTTTTATGATTGGCACGGAGGGATCCGGGGCATCTGAGCTGGCTGCTTCTTCCAGAGAGATCTCCTGGCAGAGTGAGGGCCTAGTGATAACCAGCTTTGAATTATGCCACATGCAACATTCCTGTGATCACATAATCCTCTTCATCCTCATATGAAATAAATGAGGAGAGCTTCCTCGTTCAAACATGACTTCTTACCTTCTATTACCACTCCTGGGCATCTTGGGCCACCATGGGTAGCAGGGCTGGAGGCTAAGCCCATAGGGAACCTGGAGGGGGATGATTTCCATCTTCAGGGCTACTGTTCAGTATGTTTAAGACTGCTCAGATCTGGGGGTGGAAGCCTCAGCCTGGAGGCTCTGCTCTCCACACCCATCTGCAGGCCTGTGGGAAGGTGTGAGCAGTTGGTCCAGCTGGGGCCCTTCCTGAAGACTGCTGACCTGAGGCTTCTGTACTCCTGAAGCCTACTCCCTCCACACCTGGCTGGGCAGCCTGCCACGCCCCTCTTCCTGCCTCTGTAGAGTGGAGGCAGGGTTTGCCTGTGTCCCTTTGGCGGTTGGTCACTGGTTTTCCAAAAGCAGGGTCCCCAGTCTGCTTCTCCTCCATAGGGTTGCAAGCCTTGTCTCCCTCCCTTTGGCAAGACTCCAACCCTCCTCCCAGCCGCCCCATTGCCCCTTCCTGGCAGTAGCACCAGCTTTCACAACCTTTCCAGCCCAGGGGCCCCCAGGCCGGGAGGATGGCTGGGGGGGACACATGGCAGGCCTATAAGGTTTCCTGTGTCTTCTCTCCTGTTGCAACGGTGCCACCTGCACACTTAACTGTTGGACACACAACCACACATTCACACATCCACCCACATCTAGTCACGATTCATCACACACATACACCCACATATACAATCATACCATTTACACACATATACACCCAATCACACAGTTCACATCCAAAGTCACACAACTCAAATTCACACAGACCAAACCCCCACACACGTGCAACCACATACACAATCAACCATTCACTGACATTGTCATCACACAGTTCACTCACATACACCCCCTCACACACATGCACACAATTCAACATCACACAATTCACTCATTCACACACATACCCACATACAAATTCACACTGCTCACATTTACACACAATTCACTAAAATTCACACATATATACACCCATGTACACACAGTTCACTCGCATCACACACATACATACCCACACGTAAACAGTCACACAATTCACTCACGTTCAGTCACCGACATTCACACACATACACACGCACCACACACAGGCAATTCAGTCACATGGCCAAAAGCCAGTCTTCACCTTGCTACAGTTCCCAGTGTCGCCTCAACCTTTGCAACAGCGTCCCCTTCCCACGCCTGGACAGCTGGAGAGCCCTGAACACACCCCATCTTCACGCCTCCAGCGCTAGCCCAAGCCCTTCCCTCTGCCAAGAACACTAAGTGAACTCAAGGTCACTTCTCAGGACCCTTCCCTGCCCCTCCTCCTGCCAGGTGACCTGAGGATCCTGCTGGCCCTGCTTAACAATGATGCACAGCATGGTTAGTTCAGCTGATGTCGCTCTCCCGGACTTACTGCTGCCTACACAGCACTGGGACTGACTGTTTAACTTTACTGTTTATTTCATGTATTTTATTGGCGTGTCTCTTGAAAGCAAAACCATGCAATTAGGAAATCCAAAGGCAGCCAGCATGAAGCAAGTGCAGAGTGCAGTGGTGCAAACTCAACTTACTGCAGCCTCAACCTCCTGGGCCTAAACAATCCTGCCTCCGCTTCTCATGTAGTTTGGATCACAGGCGCATGCCACCGTGCTGGGCTAATTTTATGACTTTGTAGAGATGGGGTCGCACTTTGTTTCCCAGGGTGGTCTTGAATTCCTAGGCTCAAGTGATCCTCCCACCTCAGCCCATTTTGCAAAGCTGCTCATCCCGGTAATGATCTTCCCCCAACTCCCACCAGGGCAGTGGGACACTCGGGTGTCGGATGGTGGCTGCACATCAGCATGACCCACCTAGGACAGACACCCAACATCAACACAGTAGCCTCAGTGTGTGCGCTGTACACTCCCTCATCTCTATCAGTTTGTGGGCTGAAGGGCAACCTGCCGCCTCCTAATTGCAGGCTCCCTAAGGGCATAGTGCCTCAGCCACCTGTTTTCTCAAAGGCTGGGCACAGGGTGACCCCACCACCACTAATGTCTGTACCATAAATGAACTTTACCCCTGTTCTATAAAGATGTTATGCCCCAAAAAAGAAGTGGAGGGCCCATACCCTGAGGGAGGGAATGGATCTCCAGGGTTGGAATAGTGACACCTTTTGTCCTCACTTACATGAATAGGAAGGATACAATTGCTGAGACTCCCCATATCCTAGCTTCAGGAATAGCTTTTGTTAGGCCTGTTAGTCTGAGGAACCCTAAAATTCCAGATAGTCCCCCCACAACAGGGATTTGGGCAAAAATTATGTCTTTTTGATTGGTGAGCCCAGGTGCCTAAAGAAGGTAACAGAGTCCTGGAGTTCACACTAGATTCATTCTTATAGGAGAAACTAGAAAAGCACCAGAGACAGGGAGCGGTTTTTAGAAGCAGGACCAACCTCAGAGAAGAGAGGCGAGAAGAGGTTTGTCTGGCAGGCATTAGGACCCAGGGGGGCAAGGATTAGGGTAGATAGACTAGATGGGTGAGTCTCGCTTGGGTGACAGGCCTTTGAGAGTTCCACTCATGGCCACAGGCTCAACCAACTTGTCGGGATCCCGGAGCCGCGTGGCTTTCCTCTCAGTCGACCCTGGGCTCAGCCCAGTAGTACAGGAAAAGCGGAAGCTGCTTCTAGGCAAACCAACCCTTCCAAACTCCGAAGACTCGGGAGTTGTTAGAGAGCCCTTTCCCAGAAAGCGTGACACTCGTATCTTGAGTCCGGTGGCTGCGCTAGTTGCTTTTAACTGGCCGACAGGTGCCCAGTATTTAGCCCCCAGATTCTAAGGAAAAATAGGACAGAATAGCAAGCAAAAGGGGTCCGTTGGTTCTCACCACTTGGCGATAGTTGATGTCCCACTGCTCGGCGATAGCTGACAGCCCCTTTGTGGTCGCCAAAACGTGTCCGGAATGGGTGGGTTCTTGGTCTCACTGACTTCAAAGAATGAAGCCCCAAACCGTCGTCATGAGTGTTACAGTTTTTAAAGATGGTAATGTCCAGAGTTTGTTCCTTCAGACGTTCAGATGTGTCTGGAGCTTCTTTCCTTCTGGTGGGTTGGTAGTCTCCCCGTCAGGAGTGAAGCTGTAGGCCTAATGGTGAGTGTTACAGCTCTAAAAGGCAGCGCGTCTGGAGTTGTTGGTTCTTCCCGGTAGGCTTGTGGTCTCGCTGGCGTCAGGAGTGAAGCTGCAGACCTTCGCAGTGAGTGTTACAGCTCATAACGGCAGCATGAACCCAAAGCGTGATCAGCAACAATATTTATAACAAAAAACAAAGCTTCCACAACCTAAAAGAGAACCCAAACAAGTTGCAGCTGACTGGCTCGGGCAGCCTGCTTTTATTCCCTTATCTGGCCCCACCCACATCCTGCTGATTGGTCCATTTTGCAGAGAGCTGATTGGTCCATTTTGACAGAGTGCTGATTGGTGCGTTTACAATCCTTGAGCTAGTCAGAGAGTCACAGAGTGCTAGTCCTCCAAGTCTCCACTAGGTTAGCTAGATACAGAGTACCAATTGGTGTATTCACAAACCCTGAGCTAGACACAGAGTGCTGATTGGTGTATTTACAAACCCTGAGCTAGACACAGAGTGCTGATTGGTGTATTTACAAACCCTGAGCTAGACAGAGTGCTGATTGGTGTATTCACAAACCCTGAGCTAGACAGAGTGCTGATTGGTGTATTCACAAACCCTGAGCTAGACACAGAGTGCTGATTGGTGTATTTACAAACCCTGAGCTAGACAGAGTGCTGATTGGTGTATTCACAAACCCTGAGCTAGACAGAGTGCTGATTGGTGTATTCACAAACCCTGAGCTAGACAGAGTGCTGATTGGTGTATTTACAATCCTCTGGCTAGATATAAAAGTTCCCCAAGTCCCCATCCAGTTCAGGAGCCCAGCTGGCTTCACCCAGTGGATCCTGCACCAGGGCTCATGTGGCGCCGCCAGCCAGTCCCGAGCGGCGCTTGCATTCCTCAGCCCTTGGGCTGGCCATGGGAGCGGCACCACGGAGGAGGGGAGGGCGCCCCTCCGGGAAGCTCAGGCAGCGCGGGAGCTTACCGCAGGTGGGGAGCTCAGACATGGCGAGGGCTGCAGGTCCCCAGCCCTGCCCTCCCGGGAAGCAGGTAAGGCCCCCGCGAGAATTTGAGTGCGGCGCCGGCGGGCCGGCACTGCTGGGGGACCCGGTGCAACCTCCGCAGCTGCTGGCCCGGGTGCTAAGCCCCTCACTGCCCTGGGCCGGTGGTGTGCGGGGCCCGCCGATCCCGCGCCCACCGGAATTCACACAGGCTAGCGAGCGCAGCCCCGGTTTCCATCCGCGCCTCTCCCTCCACACCTCCCCACAAGCAGAGGGAGGCAGCTTCGGCCTCAGCTAGCCCAGAGAGGGGCTTCCACAGTGCCGTGGCGGGCTGAAGGGCTCTTCAGGCGCCACCAGAATGGGCGCCGAGGCCGAGGAGGCGCTGAGCACAGTCCTACCATCAGGAACCTGAGGGGTCAGGGGGCCCCAGGGCCCCAGACCCTGATGTGTTCTTACTGGGCAGGGCAATAAATGGGTTTTTCCCCCTGAGGCAGGATCACTGGCTCCAGTCTGCGGCAGTCCCAAATGGATCCTCTACTACCCTACGCACCAGTCCTGGCCCAGGGCTAGCTCCTTGGTGAGAAACTCAAAGAAGTGGGCGCTGTGGCTGCGGTTGTCCTCAGCACTACGCAGATGGAGGAGACGGACGGCTGCGCGCAGGGCTCTGTGGACCCGCTCAGCGCCACGGCCAGGCCTGTACGCACTGTCACTTTCACGCGCCGAAGGGAACATGAAAAGTTTTACCTGAAGCTGGGGCCGGCAGGGCTACCTCTAGGGGACCCGACCCGAGCGCGGGAAAGCCGAAACGCGCAGTGTTCGTGGGGACAGGGATCCCAGTACAGGTCGACGCCCCTGAAGGTCACGTCCGGCTCATGACTGGGGAGGGCGATAAGGGAAAGAC